GAGAGAGAGAGAGAGAGAGAGAGAGAGAGAGAGAGAGAGAAAATATTGAAATGACAACATTATGTCTCCAGTTGTTGTCATTTCAATATTTTCTGTGTAATTTAACTTTGGAATTTGCATTTGGAAAACTGAACTTTATATAATATATATACTTAAATTTATCGCTGATATAGAATTGAATATCTTTGACCGACCGATGATTCAAGGCTCATCTCTACTGTATGTAGTAAGGCAGATTAGGTGAAAAATCATTCAGATTGTCATACACGCATCAAGTTTTGCGTGTGTTTCACGGATAGGCCACTAATTCATAAAAGAACGTTAGCCACGTGAAAATTCAAAATAGCGGTTATTTTTCAAGATGGTTGCCATTGGCGTCATTATTTTACACTTTTCGCAATATATTTTGACTGAGTAGGCCAATTCTCGCGATATTGACATCGATTCAGATGTTTTTTACCCTGCTGAATCTGATTCTGGCGTCAGAAATCACATGTGAAGCTTCTATACATCATATATAACACAAACACGTATTTCCACGATGACAACCAATTTTATATCCCACAAGTCACATGTTACGCTGGTGGACCAATGCAATTTAGTCAGGTATTCATAGCCATAATGTGTGCCTTGGCACAGCAGTCCATATTTGAAAGTCAATGGTCATACATCGAATTCTCAATTAGAGCAGGTGCAACTGCACATGGCAGTGCAGCTCGAGCTGTACTTATAACACTTGCACCTTCCACGACAATGTGTCCTGCACTGGCATCTCGTGAGTTGCTGACAGCTTTGGACAACTAATGGGAGTGCAGACCAGACAACACGCCAGCATTCACCTTCTTTCTTCCAACCCCACTCAGCTGGACTAACCGGGTCTGGCTGACATACCAACGCCTGGTTCCATATCCATCCTACTTGGTATGTTGCCCGCTTCACATGCTGAACCAAAGCTACTTGAGTTGGGGGAATAGCCTCGTAAGACGTCTGTTTCCTGGCAAACAGATCAAGTCGGGCTTCATCAACAGTCTCAGTTGTGCTGGATCTGTCATACATCATGACAACAAACTTCACGTCATCTTCTTCAACTTCTGGAGGAGAACAGCTCAGTTTGACGAAGACTTCAGAGGCCTCAGATGGCGATGATGGCGTTTGCGCCTTTGGTAATGATGACTGTGTTTTCTGTGCGGACATCAGCTACCTTCATAGCGAGGTATTCAAACAGCTCTGTCTTGTTGGTGTCGTCCCTTAGAAAGCTTTGCCAGTTACGTGGCATCTTGCCATTCTCTGTTACACGACGCCTGGCTCCCTTTCCTCGTTTGATCCTAGTTTCTGCGTTCAGGCTTGATGGTTGATAGACGTCGAAGAAAATGCCCATTCTCTTATACTTAACAGCGTAAGTTGCGACTTTTGGAATGAAATCCAGTGTGGCATATTCTGCAGATGTCTTCGATGCTCTTGGTGGCAATGCGTTGACCAGAGCTGAACCGTCGATTACGATGGCATCAGCCACAGGTTCTGTTTCAGGTACTGCGACCTTCGCTTCAAGGATGGAAGCTAGCTGTGACTTCTGGCACTCATGCAACCTCCCATGATCACTTAGGGCTGTAAGAGATTGTTGATTCTCATGGCGAAAAAATTCGCGTATATCACATTTCCTGCTCTGACAAGATATGAACAGCTTTGAAAAGAGCTGACAATCTTCTTTCGCCACCTTCTCTTTTGCGTTGGCTGGGACCTTGCCGTGGAGGGTGCAAATGTTATAAGTACAGCTTGAGCTGCACTGCCATGTGCAGTTGCACCTACTCTGATTGAGAATTCGATGTATGACTGCTGCTTTCAAATACCTGACTAAATTGCAGTACAGCGTAACTTGTAACTTGTGGTATATAAAATTAGTTGTCATCGTGGAAATACGTGTTTGTGATATGATGTATAGAAGCTTCACTTGTGATTTCTGATGCCAGAATTAGATTCAGAAGGATCAAAAACATCTGAATCGATGTCAATATCACGAGAATTGGCCTACCCAGTCAAAAAATATTGAGAAAAGTGTAAAATATTGACGCCAATGGCAGCCATCTTGAAAAATGACCGCCATTTTGAATTTTTACGTGGCTTCTTTTATGAATTAGTGGCCTATCCGTGAAACACACGCAAAATTTGATGCTTGTATGACAATCGGAATGATTTTTCACCTAATCTGCCCTACTAAAAGAGAAAGGATGGGTTGGGAGTGCACGCTCATCCACATACACAGAAGCCATATAGCTGCCGCATGTAAGAGATGGGGTAACACGGCTTTATATTATATAACCACGAGAGAAACACATGTACACAACTAATTCAGAGCTGCTTCTGGAATCACAGCGGGATACGTGTTTACGCATATCTATCTATCAGGAGTTAATAAAGACAAACTTTGTCTTTATTAACTCCTGATATCTATCTATATATACGCGTGTATTTAGGAGGTATCTATGTGTTTACGTGCAGCTGCACCGGTAATAATAGAATAACGTCAGAGAGGTTGTGTGTACGTGCGTGCGTGCGTACGTGCGTGCGGGTGTGTGTGTGCGCGCGTGTGTGTGAGAGAGAGCGTGCATGTGTGTATGTGTGCGTGTGCATGTGTGTGTGCGCGTGTGCGCGCGTGTGCGAGAGAGAGAGAGAGCGTGCGTGTGTGTATGTGCGCGTGTGTGTTTGAGAGAGAGCGCGTGCGTGTGTATGCATGTGTGCGTGTGTGTGCGTGAGTATGCGCGCGCGTGTGTGTGCGAGAGAGCGTGTGTGTGTGCGCATGTGTGTGTGTGCGTGCTGTGGCGTGAACAGCTCGACAAATAGTCTGCTGGTGAGAAAGCTTCTTCGCTGTTAGAGTTTAGCTTCGGGTCGCCGCGTCTCCCGTGTTGTTGGCAAAAGCTGATGATGAATGAAAAAAAAAGAGATGAAAAAAAGAGATGTGAGTTGCGGGGTGAAGAGACAGCTCATCGACATAAGCAGTTGCTAGTCAGTGACCACAGAACTGCGGTGTACTGCTGTTACTGCTGTTGTTGCTGCTGGTGGTAGTGGCGGCGGCGGTAGTGCTGCTGCTACTACTGCTGCTGCTGCTACTACTACTGCTGCTGCTGCTGGTGGTGGTGCTGGTGCTGCTGCTGCTGGTGGTGGTGGTAGTGGTGGTTGTGCTGCTGCTGCTGATGATGACGATGACGTTATTCTATTATTACCGGTAGGGGTGCACCGGATCCAACTTTTTAAGTTCCGGCCGGAACTTGAAAAAAGTTCCAGCCGGAACTACCTGGCCAAAACCGGAACTTTAGCTGGGAATAAACTTGACAGTTTTGGCCCAGTATTGCCCAAACTCACTCGGCCTGAACGAATTATCATTAGCAGGCACATCATTTAGGCGAGTAGAACAATGCTCAAAGTTCTAATTACACGATGGTTGTTACTGTTAGGTGTATAAATCAGCTGCTTACAGTGCATAATTTGCATAATTCTGGCATCTTATTCATGAGCGAATTCTGTGGCAAAACCTGCATGTTGCAGTATCCCTGGTTTTAGTCTATTATTTTCAACTAAAGCCCGGGACACACCATGCGAATTTATTCGCACGTCCGCGGCGATCATATCCGCACGAAAATCGCGGCGAAAATATACGCACCCGCATGCGATAATTGAGCGGACACACCATGCGAATTAATCGCACGTCCGCAGCGTACACACTACACGCGATCTACTGGCGCCACACGGCTCCACCATGGCTCCAACAGTCATGTGGTCCCGTGATTAGCATACTGATCAATGATTCGCTGCATTATAACAATCGGCCATTATTTGCACTAGACTGGTACCCGTCCCTTCTCACAAGCTCGATATAGGCCTATATCGAGCTTGTGAGAAGGGACGGGTACCAGTCTATATTCGCACGTCCGCTCGTCCGCAGCGAAAATATCAAACATGTTTGATCCCTGCGAATTTCGGTGAGGATGAAATTCATTTATTCGCAGCGAAATTCGCCCGCGCTTGAGCGGACGCACCGTGCGAATTTCGCTGCGATTTTTCAATCGCTGCCCGACGTACGAATAAATTCGCATGGTGTGTCCCCCGCTTAACGGACAGATGCGATTCCTGTGGCTCTAAGAGTATTTTATTTTGAAAGAAAACCTTATGAATCACCTAACATCAGTTAGGTTCAGTTCAGTTAGTTAGCCAATGCTCAAGTGGCAAGCGTTTGGGCAGAAAAGTGTGAAGTTGTTAACACTATATTGTCAGCAAGTTGACTCTATTGACTCTACAGTGACTAATCTTTTGATTTTGATAACACTTGTAGCAGAAATAAAATTAGGAAAAAGTTCCGGTTCCGGCCGACTGTTTCTGAAAGGTTCCGGCCAGAACCGGAACTCTGAAAAATTTGGGATCCGGCCGGATAGTTCCGGCCATATCCAAGTTCAGGTGCACCCCTAATTACCGGTGCAGCTGCACGTAAACACATAGATACCTACTAAATACACGCGTATATATAGATAGATATCAGGAGTTAATAAAGACAAAGTTTGTCTTTATTAACTCCTGATAGATATCTATGCGTAAACACGTATCCCGCTGTGATTCCAGAAGCAGCTCTGAATTAGTTGTGTACATGTGTTTCTATCGTGGTTATATAAAGCCGCGTTACCCGATAATGGGTAGAGAAAAGAAGAGGGGAAGAGAAGCGAAAGGGAAAGAGAAGAGGGGTGAAAGGACGAAAAGGGTAGGCCTTAATCGGTTCCCTGCTCATCGGTTACTAGGGCTGATAGGGTCTATGTCCCATCTCCGTCTTCATCTTCCAGCCCCGTCTCTGTCAGACTCTATCATCTTCTCCTTCTTCTCCTCTACTATACTCTCAAACAGACAGTACTGTCCTCTTCATTTTACTGTCTTCTTACAGATTTTGCCTTCCTTCAACACTCTACCAAGCTCTCATCCAGACTTTACTACCACCTCTTCTACTTTTTTAAGCCATAGGTATAGTATACGTCTCAAAGACGAGTTGCCCAAGCTAAGAAAAAAGAGATGATCATGTACTATATCATCACACGGCAGTAGTCTTGTAGATCCTCACACGCCACATCTGCTAATATAGCTACCGTCAATAGAGTTAAAATTAACAGAATATTGATGCACGCGCGCGTGTCTGTGCGTGTGCGTGTGTGCGTGCGTGCGTGCGTGCGTGCGTGCGTGCGTGCGTGGGCGGTCACGTTTCACCGTGTTCGCTGAAATAATGGCCGCAGGGGGTTCGGAGAGCCGTGACACCCCTATCAATATATTCAAGAGCTAATAATACCTATTATTAGCTCTTGATATATTAGTGATCGTTCGTCCCATTTTACGAGGGTCCATGGTTCGCCGAGCATAACACATGGCGGTGTACACCGGACCTGCTGTGCGGACTACGCTGTGTTTGCAAATCGCAGGTAGGGCTACACTGCCTACACAACGCAGTTACGCACGTGGCTAGGGTATATATCAAGAGCTCATAATAGAGAAGAGTATTATACCGTTTTAACAGCGTTTTGCATAGTTTTCAACTTGTAAATATACTATCAATATGTGAATAAATATATTCAAACTTTACCTTGTTTTCGTCTATGATTCTCCCTTAATCATATGACACCACCAATTTACTTGGTATATATATATATACCTGTAGGCAGAATTCTCCCCCTCTCTCGCCCTCGCTCTCTCTCTCTCTCTCTCTCTCTCTCTCTCTCTCTCTCTCTCTCTCTCTCTCTCGCTCTCTCTCTC